TAAGTCTTCCCACACTGGAGCATCAGTAAGGAACTAGTAGACAGTATTTACCTTAACAAAACAAAACAAATAGGCCTGGTTCGAGGTCCTGGTAGACTCAGTATGGTTCTTAACAAGGTCTGTCTCCAGTTTTTTCTGGTGGAGACTACAGGATCTGCATACAGGGCCTGTTTCAGGGGAGTAAGTTATCTTGTGAGGAGTGTGGGGCCAGCAAGGAGGGAAAGGAGGCTCCAAGGTGATGTTGCCTTCCTCCGTTGAGCCACTTACTCACTTATTTTCCAATTCACAAGGAGAAGATTCTTAAGGCATTTGTTGAGATATTTGATATCTTGGGTAGGGTGACTCTCTGGCAGAGTTCCAGATACTCTGACTGATTTCTACAAGTCATTCTCCTCCTGGCTCATTCCAAATACTGATGGGGAGGTTCTGAGTTTAAAAGTGGCCTCATTTCCTATCTATTTTTGTGAAAACTTTTAGCCAATCTTTTGCCTTCTATTCATTCAATTCTGTTTTTAAAAATATTACTAAGGACCTACCTGCAATACTCCAAGCCCTGTGCTTAGTTTTAGGCAACAGTCCTAGCAGTTAGTCCCCTAAAACTGCCTTCATGAAAACTGTAACAGAGAGGTAACAGACAATAATTAAGCAAATTAACACGATAAAGGAGCCAGGCTGGGTAGGACCAAGGAACCCATGGTGAAGGTTGGATTTTGTTTTGAGAGCAAAGGGAAGCCACTACTGATGTCAAACAGGAATGGTGTCATAGCTAAAGGTCTCCCTTTGCAACAGTTAAAAATTGTGAAGACAGGGCTGGAGATAGTACAGCAGGTAAGGTGCTTGCCTTGCCCAGGGCTGACCCTCATTTAATCCCTGGCACCCCATATGGCCCTCCAAGCACCATGAGGAGAAATTCCTGAGTATAGAGCCAGTAGTAACCCCTGAACAACGGCAGGTGGGCCCCAAAACAACAGCAACAACCAAAATATGAGGCATGGGACCAGAGTGATAGTACTTGCGTTGCACATAGCCAACCTGAGTTTGAGCCTCGGCACCCCATAAAGTCCCCTGAGCACCCCCAGGAGTGATCCATGAGCACCGCCAGGTGTGACCCCAAAATTGTGAAGCATATCCATGTATACCATATAGAAGGATTTGTGAGATTCCTTAAGTGGGGGGAGGAGGGTATATATATATAAAAATATCTATTTTTATATATAGTATAAAAATACTTCTAATGTATATTTAAAAGAGGCGAAGTATATGTATGTAGACTTGCCTTTGTACAAAAGACCATTTTATGGGTCAGAGAGAGAACACACAGAGGGCTGAGCAACTGCTTTGCACATAGGAGGTCTGGGTTAGATCCCTGGCATAGCATGGTACCCCAAGCACAGAAGCAGAAGTAATTCCAAAACACCACTGAGTGTGGCCTCAATCCACCCCACACATACTACACTAAGGAGGCACAAGAAGCTGAGAGTCTTGCTCCTGTGGAGGGGAACTGAGGGACAGAGTTAGCTGTTGAAGAGGCTCCTGAACCCAGTGTGAGTATGTGCAGAGACTTCCCCACATTGCAGGGCAATTTGGGGGTACCAGCAGGTGTCAGGAGGATTCAGCTCGATTCCAACAGGAGCTAGAAATTAACATCAGACTCCACAGAAGGCCTAGGTCCTCCGGACCTTTGCACACACTTCAGATAGCAAATGTTCTTCCAACCTCATCTTGAGATTTTAGGTGCCAGTTGTAGGCCCAGATCATTGAATTTTTAACCAACTGGCTTTACATCCGAGGTCTCTAATGTGTCATAATTTGACATATATAATTATGTCAGCTGTGAGTGTGTCTCTGGAACAATCAAGACTAGAAAAGTGGGCACAAGGTCCTTCTCCATGAGAACTCTGTGAGAACTTGATCTGCATGACCTGCAAGTGTATCTTTTTAGGAGCCATGGATTTCAATGTGAGGCATGATTATATTCTTCTCAGGAAGAGAAAAAGTTAGTCCAGCCTCTACTCAGAGTTCTTGTCATTCATCATAGTAAAGAATTGCATTTCACCGATACTTGTAATAGATTTTATGCCATAGATTCTTGAAGAAAAAAATAGGGTCTGATCATTATGTGGTACTTTAGAAAAAAATAAAGCAGATAAACCTAAAAATCATTTATTACTACATTGTCTCTGATGCAACATTTAGGGTGCTTTGAATACTTGTGTATGTGCATGAAAGTGTGACCATGATAATGTGGTGAAATATGGAATTTCAGGACAAGACAAGCAGAAAAGCAAAATAATTTTATTAAGGAATAATACATGCTCACTTCTCCAGAGAGAGAAAGAGTCATGAAGCAAAGGAAAGTGATTATGGGGCCAGAGAGATAGCACAAAGGTCAGAGTGGGTGGGATGTGGTCTGATCCCCAGCACAACAAGGTCCTCAGAGCATTGCCAGGTGTGGCCCTGGTTTCCCCCAGCCTCCATGGCTTAAATAGCATCACATCCTTGGGTTCAGCTGTCTGGCTTGATTGGCTAAGAATTGCCATGGGTAGCCCCCGGGTCCTTCAGCACTTGGGAAGATCCATCCCCCAGCAAGAAAGTTACTGTGTGATCAAGGTAAGGGTGCAACCTCGGAATCAGCTTAACCAAAGAGGTGACGTACCTATACAAGGAAAATTACAAAACACTACTTCAAGAAATAAAAGAGGACACTAGGAAATGGAGACACATCCCCTGCTCATGGATAGGGAGGATTAACATTATCAAAATGGCAATACTGCCCAAAGCACTATGCATATTCAATGCGGTCCCTATCAGGATACCCATGAAATTTTTCAAAGAAATAGACAAAACACTCCTGAAATTCATATGGAACAATAAACCCCCACGAATAGCTTAAACAATCCTTGGGGAAAAGAAGATGGGTGGCATCACCCTCCCCAACTTCAAACTGTACTACAAAGCAGTAGTAATTAAGACAGCAAGGTACTGGGCTAGAAACAGACCTGCAGACCAATGGAATAGAGTTGAATATTCTATCACGGAACCCCAAATATATGACCACTTAATCTTTGACAAAGGAGCAAGAAATGTGAAGTGGAAGAAGGAAAGCCTCTTCAACAAGTGGTGCTGGGAAAACTGGAGAGCTACCTGCAAAAAAATGAACTCTGACCTCTGTCTAATGCCAGGCACAAAAGTCAGATCAAAATAGATTAAAGACCTCAATATCAGACGTGAATCCATAAGGTATTTAGAGGAAAGTGTAGGAAGAACTCTCCACGACATTGAAGCTAAAAACATCTTTAAGGATGAAACAGCACTGACCATGCAAGGGGAAGCAAACATAAACAAATGGGACTACATCAAACTAAGAAGCTTCTGCACTTAAAAAGAAACAGTTACCAAAATATAGAAAGAGCCCACAGAATGGGAAAAAATATTTACCCAATACCCATCTGATAAGGGATTAATATCCAAGATATACAAGACACTAGTAGAATTGTACAAAAAGAAAACCTCTAACCCTACCAAAAAATGGGGAGAAGAAATGAACAGAAGTTTCCTCAAAAAAGAAATACAAATGGCCAAAATGCACATGAAAAAAATGTTCCACATTGCTAGCCATCAGGGAGATGCAAATCAAAACAACAATGAGGTATCATCTCACACCACAGAGACCAGCACACACCCAAAAGAACAAAAGCAACCAGCGCTGGCTTGGATACGGGGAAGAAGGGACACTCTTTCACTGTTGGTAGGAATGCCCACTACTCCAGCCTTTCTGGAAAACAATATGGACAGTCCTTCAAAAACTAGACATTGAGCTTCCATGAGACCCCATAATACCACTTCTGGGAATATATCCTGAGGATGCAAAAAAGCACAGTAGAAATGACATCTGTACCTATATGTTCATGGCAGCACTGTTCACAATAGCCAAAATCTGGAAACAACCCAAGTGCCCTGGAACAGTTGACTGGTTAAAGAAACTTTGGTACATCTACACAATGGAATACTATGCAGATGTCAGGAGAGATGAAGTCATGAACTTTGCTTATAAATGCATAGACATGGAGAGTATCACGTTAAGTGAAATGAGTCAGAAAGAGAGGGACAGACATAGAAGGACTGCACTCATTTGTGGAGTATAAAGCAACATAACATGAGGCTGACACCTAAGGATAGTAGATACACAGGACAGATAGATTGTTCCATAGCTGGAAGCCTGCCTCATGAGCAAAGGGGAGAAGGCAGCTTGAATAGAGAAGGAATCACTAAGAAAAAGATGGCTGGAGAAATCAGTCGGAATGGGAGTTGTGTGCAGAAAGTAGACAAAGGACCAAACCAAAAGTAGAGAGAGATTATGGGGAATCATGTCTGCCATGGAGGCAGGGGGAGGTTGGGAAAAGGGGGGGCATACCGGGGATATTGGTGGTGGGTATGTGCACTGGTGGAGGAATGGGTGTTTGATCATTGGGTGATTATAACCTAAACATGAAAGCTTGTAACTATCTCATGGTGATTCAATAAAATTAAAATTTTTTTAGAAAAAAAGTAGGGGTACAAACATATCAGTGCTGGCATATAGGGTGTTTTCTTTTTTCAAGCTTCCTACGTTTGTGTCAAGAGTTATATTGCTAGGAGAGTTGTCAAAAAGAAGAACTTTGACCTCTAGTGGCCCCATCATTCTCTCAGTCTTATCAGGGCATCGTTCTTGCCTGTGAAAATGGCCAGGCTGGTTTTGTTCTTGGTCCTGAGCTGGCAACAGATATTTTGTCTTTAAAACATATTTTAGTTTTATGATTTATTGCATTCTAGAACCACTTCTTGATTCTACAGCTTCCTGAGATGTCCTGCCCAAGGACTCCCAACCTGACTGCATAGTTCTGCTATGTGTCCCTTTCATTTTATCAGACAACAGTGACCAACAGTTTTTTATGACCATCAGAACAAATTCACACTACAGAAGCCCTCTCATTTCTTACTCCAGCTTTTTTTCTTTGCAGAGAGATGCCAAAGGCCAGTACCTGTTTGACCTCCTTTGCCACCACCTGAACCTGCTTGAGAAAGACTACTTTGGGATCCGCTTTGTGGACCCAGATAAGCAGCGGGTAAGTCCATATTCAAAGCACAAGTGGCAGAGAGGGTTGGTCAATGGGTCTGAAGCTCTGAAGTGTTTCTCAGATTCAGAGTCTAGCCTCAAGGAGGGCCCGGGGCCAGGTGGGTCCGAGGCTGGAGTACATGCTATGCATTCATGAGCCTGGGTTCAGAACCCAGCATGTCAGACTTGTTGAACATCACCAGGAGCAACCCCAGCATGCATCAGTGCAGCCCACAAACCAAAATTTTAAAAGTCAGGGACCAACTGGGCCCCTGTACTTTGGTGTCATCTCCTCAAATCACATTATTAGATCTGATAGGCAGGCTCCTAGCAGAGCTCATCCAGTGTGGCCCATCAATTTTCAGAAGTCAAAAAGTCACCTCAAGAAGAGATAGGTGTTGGAACATTATATGACTGAAACCCAACCATGAGTCACTTAGTAACTGTGTATCTCACTGGAATTCAATTTAAAAAATTAATTAACTTTTAAAAAATAAAATGAAGGCACTTGGAGAATTGAAATGATTTACCCATAGTTGTCCGGTTGGAGTCAATAGAGCTGATACAGTGGTGTTAGGGCTGCAGACCAGAGCCAGGTCTTAGCTAAACTGTCCTGCTGAGACCTGGTCTTGGCCAGGAGACAGTCTTGGCCACACTATACTGGTTAAGAAGAGCCTGAATCACAACAGTTTAGAGACAGATAGGGGCCCTTCCAGGCCTTGTGCTGTTCTGTCATCATGGGCATCTCTACAGACATAGGGCACTGACAAAGACAGTGATGTTCTGAGCAGATAGAGGGACAAGTCCCTTATCATCCATTCCCCGTCTCCAGTTTTACCTCCCCTGACCCCGCTGCTCCATGCTGTGGCCCAGACATGCATTGTCATGGCTTTCTCAACACGCATCCTTCCTTCGGTTTTAACTATCACCTATGTAGTTCCCCTGCTCAGAATGTTTCTTTGCCTTTTCTTCACTTCTCCACATTTTTCTACTAGCCAAGTCTTCCTCACTATTACTTTTTCCACCAAGTCTTCTCCAGCCTCTAGAGTTAATGGGGGAAAGAAGGGTGTCCGTTCTATGTGCCTCCAGATGCCCTGCACTACCACACACTTTCTTACTTCCCAAGATAAAATGTGTGTGTGAGTATGTTCCAAGAGGATGTCGATTCTATCTCACTCATCACTCTAATACCCCATAACTCAACCTCAGAGCCAAGAATATGCTGGATGCTTCAATAAATACTTGCAGCAGTTTAATGAGGGACTGAATTAATGGTTTGTCAATGCTTTGTTTCTGACCTCTACCTGCCCAGATTCCCAGCTAGCTGCAGTTTCTTTAACTTCGGGTCTTCTCTGCTCTGCTCCCTGTGAGGCTGCATTCTTTGGCATCCTACTGAGATGTGAGACTGCAGAAACCTTCCTGCCTCAGGCTCTCCCTGCTCCTCCATTACCATATATTCTTGTCTGTCTCCTTCAAAAACATCACTGTGGACCCCAGAGAAACACTGGTTTTCTTGCCAGATCCAAGCTTGGATTCTTTTCTCTCCTCAGTGGATCCTTGAGGCCCCCGGGTAGAGCATCCCAACAGTGCTCAGCACCTCTCACCACTCACTCTGCTACTCAGAGCTACTGTGCCTTCTGGTCATATGAGGGGACTTTTGGAAAGAATCAAACATTGACTGTCTCTTCCTTTGACGAGCCTGGGTCCCTTTCACTGATACATTTCATTCCTCCTGGCTCAGCAGAATTTTGAGCATTTTCAAAGTGCCATTACCTTACAAAGACTCTACTGTCTTGATAGGAATCTTTCCACTGGCTCTGGACCATCATAGAAGATCCCATGACACCAGAAGCTACATGTCCTCACATGATGTCTGTATCCACTCACTGGAATGATGCACTATTTTAAATTTTGTTTTATTTTGCTTTTTGAGTCACACCCGGTGATGCACAGGGGTTACTCCTGGCTCTGTGCTCAGGAATTACTCCTGGTGGTACTTGGGGGACCATATGGAATGCTAGGGATCAAACCCGGGTCAGCTGAGTGTAAGGCAAATGCCCTACCCGCTGTACTATCGCTCCAGCCCCAAATCAAATGATGAACTATTTTTAGAGGGGCTTTTTTTTGTACTACTTTGTTTTAATTTGATACAGACTATCTCTTCTTATGGAAGACCAGTTGCCCCAAGATCTCTTCATCTTCCAGAGAGAGAGAGAGAGAGAGAGAGAGAGGTGTAGGAAGAGAGAAAGTAGACTGTATTTTGTTCATGGGCTGGAGAGTTAATACAGCAGGTAGGGCACTTGCCTTTCACACAGCGGACTTGGGTTCGATCCCGAACACCCCTTATGTGCCTTGAGCACTACCAGGAGTGATTCCTGAGCACCCCTGAAGATTGCCAGGTATGGCCTAAAAACTTAAAAAAGAATTCTGTTTATTGGTTTTGAGTTAGGCCAGTATGTGCCTGAGGAGAACAGGAGAGTATGTAAAGGTGAAAAGTTAAAAAGCAGAAGTAAATAGAGGAAGAGGAGAAAGAGGCAGAGACATGCGCGTTTTCTGAGTAGCTGGCTGCTGGTGCCAGGCCCTGTGCTAAGCTCAGTCCCTGAACCAGCTGGTATTTACTGAGCACTACACTGAGGCTTCACACATGTCATGTAATTTCACCCACAGATGCGCATCCACAGTTACAACACCCAATCCCCACACAAGTAAAGTAAGTCCCAGAGTCAGTCAAATCATTTACCCCAGATTGCAAAGTGTCTCCAGCCCAGACCTGGAGAGCCTTTGTGGGTTCGCAGTGGCCTGTGTGCTACCATGAAAAGCTGCTAAGGCTGGATTCCAAAAAGGTGGGAAATCAGGTGAGAGCACGGCAGCAAGAGTTGTGGGGATATGACCCTGTGAGCGATGATCTTTTTGGATCTTCTGACTCATGATTCAGAGGATGTCAGCTACCCGGTCCCTGAGGGGTAAGGCCCTAAAATCATACCGTCCCCAGGTAGCAGGCAGTCTGAGCAGTGTTCACATCCCTCCCCAGCATACCACTTGCTCTGCTGGATTTCTGGGGTCTCACTAGGAAGCTGCCCTCGAACACTCTCCTGTGCTCCTTAGCAGGGAGCAGGGCCTTAGCCACCCTCAGCCTCCCCTTTATGTCCTTTCAGGTCACCTGAATGGATCTTAAGATCATTCCACCTTGGCCTATATACCCAAAGAACCTCTGGATCATTTTCTCTTTGCCAAGCTTTGTTAATTTCTGGGATCCATATTTAGCCAAAGCTGCCAAAGCTACCTCTGGACACACTTATGGGAGCCTATCATCCTCTACCACAGCTTAAGAGCATCTTGGAAAAGTTGAGAGCTTTCTACTTTCTTCCCACCCCTTAGTATTCTAGTCTCACTTCTTTCTTAAGCCCTCACCACAGGGGAACAAATTTTTTTCATTCAGCTCTACATGTTAGCAGAGGGTCTCAGTCATCCTCTTTGTGTCACACCCAGCGATGCTCAGGGGATACTCCTGGCTCTGCATTCAGGAATTACTCCTGGCGGTACTTGAGGGACCATATGGGATGCTGGAGATCAAACCCAGGTTGACTGCATGCAAAGTAAATGCCCTACCTGCTGTACTATCACTCTGGTCCTCCTTTGTCTTACTTTAAACTACCAGTTCAGTGTCTTGGGCTCTTCTCTTACCAAGTTCCAGACTCTTGCTGTGTTGTCAGAATACACAGTGGTTGGAATAGGGAGGCTTCCTCTGCCTTCATGGGCACAACCTGGCACCCCAGGTTTCCCAGCCATTTCCTCTCCAGCCTCTGCTTCCCAGAGAAGCCAAGCTGTGACGGGCCATGTGATGTGTGGAGGACCTCTTAACCACATTGAGTGGCTCTAATGAGTTGCCAGTCTTGTGGAAACTCAGATCTGAGAAATCAAGAGAGCAGAATGTCAGCCCAGATTATCCATGTGGTGCTGACAGAAGAGCTGGCTCGTAGTGGGTCCATTAACTGTGTGACCCATGGCCCAGCCCAGACGGTGAGAGCTGGGAGTCAAAGGAGGCCAGGACGCCGTCAGCCCAGCCCTGGCAGCTTTCCTGCCAGAGGGGGGATTTTGCCAAGAATGGTGCACTAGCAAAAGTCATCATAAAAGAGGAAAAATGGGCCCCACTCCTTCCTCCATTCAAGATCTGTATGTAGAGCACCATGCTAGGCTCTGGGGCAATCCTGACCCAGCGCCCTGCCCTCCCAGGATGGCTAAGGATCTCAACTACTTCCAGGTAACAGCAGTTCTAGCTTTCTGCAACATACCTGTTCCTTCTTAATATAAGAACAAATGGTATCGTTTTGAAGCGTTCAGAATAAGAGAAGGAACACATGGAGGGTGTGGGATCCCGGAGGAAAAGAAAAAAGAAAAAACAGGTTCCAAAAAGAGCCGAGAGCACCGGCAAGTTCCAGATGGAGTAGGCGCCGCATCTCGCCTCCCCCAGATGGAACCCTGGTGACCAGAAGCCTCTACAAACACAGCTCGAGTATGCGGGAACGAGGACTTTTTCTCTCTATATACAAAGTGATCAATGAGAAGTAAACCACCCAATCTTTCTCCCTGAAAATCAGAGTTAAGTTTGGAGCATGGCCACAGCCCCAGAAACACAAGGACTTAATGCAGAAACCAGCAGCTTAGAGCAGAAAAGTGAACGGACGATGAGTTAACCCAGGCCATCATTTCTGCCCAGAGGGGAAAGGGTGTTGCCCCATTCGCCCTCTCTTCTCTGGAAAGAAGGATGGCGGCCGCATGGGAGCCTTGTGGACAGCAGGTATGAGCCGGGGGTGTGGGGGGCGACTAAAACTTCACGAGAAGGGGGGCATTCCGGTCCGTCCTTCACGCCCTACCGAGGTCAACAGTTGCCCCCCACGAGCGGCTCCCCAGCACGGCCACAGTCCCAGAAGCACAAGGACTTAATGCAGAACCCGGCAGCTTGGAGCAGAAAAGTGAAAGGACTATGCGTTAATCCAGGCAATCATTTCTGCCCAGAGGGGAAAGGGTGTTGCTCCCTTCCGCCCTCCTCCCTCTGGAAAGAAAGATGGCGGCCACATGGGAGCCTTGTGGACAGCAGGTATGAGCCGGGGGTGTGGGGGCGACTAAAACCTCATGGGAAGAGGGGCGTTCTGGTCCGTCCTCCACGCCCTAACGAGGTCACCAGTTGCCCCCCACGAGCGGCTCCCCAGCACAGCCACGGCCCCAGAAGCACAAGGACTTAATGCAGAACCCAGCAGCTTGGAGCAGAAAAGTGAACGGACTATGCGTTAATCCAGGCCATCAAGTCTGCCGGAGGGGAAAGGGTGTTGCCCCATTCGCCCTCTCTTCTCTAGAAAGAAGGATGGCGGCCGCATGGGAGCCTTGTGGACAGCAGGTATGAGCCGGGGGTGTGGGGGCGACTAAAACCTCATGGGAAGGGGGGCGTTCTGGTCCGTCCTTCACGCCCTACCGAGGTCACCAGTTGCCCCCCACGAGCGGCTCTCCAGCACGACCACGGCCCCAGAAGCACAAGGACTTAATGTAGAACCCAGCAGCTTGGAGCAGAAAAGTGAACGGACTATGCATTGATCCAGGCCATCAAGTCTGCTGGAGGGGAAAGGGTGTTGCCCCATTCGCCCTCTCCTCTCTGGAAAGAAAGATGGCGGCCACATGGGAGCCTTGTGGACAGCAGGTATGAGCCGGGAGTGTGGGGGCGACTAAAACCTCATGGGAAGGGGGGCGTTTCGCTCCGCCCTTCACGCCCTACCGAGGCCACCGGTTGCCCCCCGCGAGCGGCTCTCCAGCACGGCCAGGACTCCAGAACACAGAAACCAATTTCTTAACTATCTGACTTTCAGTAGAAATACTTCCAGGGTCAATAGGTAAAAGAGCAGAAATCCAAAACCAACGTTTAATTCTTGAACCCAGCCGTAGAAAGCAAATCACTTCACAATGCTTTTTCAGCATGTCTGATTTGGGGGGGGGGGGTGTAAACTCTAAATAATAGTGGTGAATCTTTTATTGAAACAATGAATCTAATCAAAGCAGATAGAGTGTTAACTAGAATTCATCTGCCTCACAGGGACAGGGAGGGGTGGGGGGTGGGGTTTTATTGGGGTTCTTCATGGTAAAAAATAAGTATTGGTAAAGGGAAATGTGTTTGATATTTACATGACTGAGACATAAACCTGAAAGCTTTGTAACCTTTCCCACAGTGATTCAATAAATAAATAAATAAAAAAGAACAAATGGTATCAGTAAAGTAGATCTGGAAAGCAGACCAAGAACAGCCTTGGGTAGGGGTGGTGGGAGGGATATTGGGAACATTGGTGGTGGAGAATGGGCACTGGTGGAGGGATGGGTACTCGGCCATTGTATGACTGACACATAAGCACGAAAGTTTGTAAGTTTGTAACTGTACCTCACGGTGATTCATTAAAAAATAAAAAATAGAAATAAAATTTGGAAAAAAAAGAACAGCCTCTGGATCATAGCGGATAGGGCATTTGCCTTGCATACGGCCGACCTGTGTTCAATCCCCAGCATCCCATTTGGTCCCCCAAGCACCACCAGGAATAATTCCTGAACGCAGAGCCAGGAGTAACCCCTGAGCATCGCTGGGTGTGACCCAAAAAGAAAAAAAAAAAAGACCATCCTCGCCTCACCACTTCTTTCCCATAAGCATGAGTACCATGGAGAAAATATGTTATGCTCCTACATCCTGCCTCTCTGAAGAGCAAAGGGAAGTAGGATACTATCCTACACATTGGTTGTGATTAGTTCTCTTCTGAGACTTTAAACATCCCTTGATGCCAACTAGTCCTGGGTGTGATTTCTTTAACACAAGGGGTTGGCAGTCTGTGTTATTCAGACAACGATGGGATATACAACATTCAGCTCTGCCTTCTCACCGTGTGTGACGTTCCACTTGTCAGCCCTTTCCAAAGCTGCTACCAACAGCCTCTGTGCCCACCTTCCAGTCCAAAAACATTGATTGGTGCCTAACACATCAAACACAGAACCCATTCCAGTCAGCGTTTCCCAGCTCACACCAAGGGGGGCTTTGTGCCATCACAGATACATGCACTCACGTGTGTCTGTTGGCATGCCTGAATCATAGCTCAGAACTTGGCGCCCCGCTTTGGAAGGCAGCATTGCCAGGAAAGCCCAGAAATGGCATGTGAAGCCACTCACAGCTGGTTCCCTGGGGAGCTTGCTTCAGAAAATCATGCCACTCTACTTTCTGAGTCTGCATATCACAGGCTTTGGGGCTGCTTTCACCCCGAGCTACAATCTGTCTAGTTTTAAATTGGATAAAACGAGTTATATTTGACACTGCTTCTCATTAGGGCTTTCTTTTTCTGTGCTCTCCTTTTCAGCATTGGTTGGAGTTTACAAAGTCTGTGGTGAAGCAATTGAGATGTAAGTATTCTCCATGAAAGGACCCAAACTTTACCCCTCAGAAGGGTGGGGTGAAACCTCTGGGGCCAGTTAGGATTGGCAGTTTTCCACAGTTCTGACAGAAGTTAACCCAAAATATAAGAGGATTTTCTTGTATTCAGGGGCTTATCCATCCTGCTAGTGAAGGACCCAGTCGTCTGGGTGGGGGTGGGGGGGTGATGGTAGGGTCTTCCCTCGTGGGCCTCACTGGCTCTGTGCTCTTCCTACAGCCCAGCCTCCATTCACCATGTGTTTTCGGGTGAAGTTTTACCCTGCGGACCCTGCTGCACTGAAAGAAGAAATCACCAGGTAATGCTGAACCCCTTCCTCAGCCACACACCCCCATAGCCTCCACAGACTCTTGGGAAGAAGCTCCTAATGCCTACAAAGAATTCCTGCCCAGTGTGATCTTTCCTTCTGCATTTCATTTTGACATGTTTCATTTGCTCCCTGTTTCAGTGAGTTTCTTTCCTTTAAGAAGTGTGACGATTTCAGACTGAGGAGATGACGCCAAGGATTGGAAACACAAGGCCTGGTGTGCATGGGCCCCAGATTTAATCCCAAGAGTCATGGGCCCCCAACACTTTTTTTCAGTGTATCGTCCACATTCCCCACTCTCACCCCCAAATACACAAACCAAAAAACAAACACGTTTGAGGCTGGAGAGATAGAACAGCAGGTAGGGTTCTTGCCTTGCGTGCCGTCAACCCAGTTTCAGTTCCTCGCACCTCATATGCCCTGAGTTCCACAAAGAGTGATCTCTGAGAGTAGAGCAATGAGCAAGTCCAGAGCATTGCCTTGTGTGTGTGTGTGTGTGTGTGTGTGTGTGTGTGTGTGTGTATGAGAGGGAGAGAGAATTCCATCTTTTAAAATAATATTTTAGTGGGGGCTATGGCCTAAAAAATACAATTTTTAGACAAAACACACTATACTTAAGGATTATTCCCAGCCTCGTGCTTGGGGATTGCTCCCAGCAGTGTTCGGGGACCACGTAGTACTAGAGATCCAATAAACCCAGGCTCCTGTCCTTTGCGCCGTCTCTTTGGCACCTGAATATTTCATTTTTTTTATGTCACTGTGAAATTACAAAGTTCGTGATTAAGTTTCAGGCGTACAATGATTCAACTGATCCCCTTCACCAATGTCCACTTCCTCCACCAATTTAGTTTCTTCCCACCCCCCACCCCCCACCCCATTTGCTTCCTCCCCACTGGTCTGCTTCTATGGGAAGCACTTTTTTTTTCCTTCTTAAATATAGTTTTTGTACTGTAGTTTGCAGTACTGTTGCTACCTGGGTTTTATACGTAACACTACCACTTTTTAGCACCACCTCCTCCTCCTGGTTGAATGCTTCGCCGAACCATAGACGTGGCCATCTTAAACGGGCCATGTGCAAAGTGATATGGAATAAAAAGTCCAAAAGCTTGTTGTTTTTTTTTCCAGTAATAATTGGCACTCTGGATGTTTTGGGCAGGGCTCTGTTACCACTTATCTGAAGATGGAAAATAGATTCCGGTGGCCTAATGTACTTGAGAAATGCCAATTCATGACACTGAGACAGGCTGGCAAACAGTGAGGATTTTAAACCCAAGTGGGTAAACGCCAGTGTGCTGATGGATCAGGTCTGTGATGAACTCTTTATTGAGGGGATCATGGGATGTGACAGACAGACAGCTGCCCTGAAATGAATCCTATCTCATCCAGAACCACTTGAGGGTGAGAAAGAGCCACTATGCCCACAACTCTCCTACAAGAAGCCAATGAACAGGATCTTCAAAGCTTTCTGTGGTGCCTGAGTCAAATTAATTCTCTAACAGTCTTGCCTTGAGATTCAACAGTTCTCTGTAATAGGAATCCTTCACTTTCATATTAGCATGATTTAATTTTGACATAAAGAGTACCCTGATGAGAAGGAGGATCCCTTAGTGAAGCAGTGATCCCAGGAATCAGCAGAGGAAGGGACCACTCTGTCAGCTTTCCCCTTCCCCCAATTCCCTGGAGGCAACAAGGACTGACGGAAGTTATTGCCCATCATACAGACATCTGTTCTGGAAGACTCGGTCTGTTTCCAGTTCCCAAACCACTCAGGGATATCCAAAAGGAATGAAGGAGAAGAGGAGAGGAAAAGGAAGGGAAAAAAATATATAGGGACCAGAGCAATTGTACAACGAGTAGGGTGCTTGCCTTGCACGCAGTCAACCTAGGTTGGACCTCATATAGTTCCCCAAAACTGCCAAATGTGATCATTGAGCACAAAGCCAGTAGTAAGCCCTAAACATTGCTGGTTGTGGCCAAAATAACTATTATTATTTACTTATTTTTGCACTACCTAGTCTGAAGAGTATGCCACTGACTTCATGTTAGGTTAAAGGAGCAAACAGTTCTCTGAGAAGGAAAATGAGGAAGTTGAAAGGAAGAGGGAAAAAAATAGGAGTCATGGGCAGCAAAGTGAGAAAGGGAGGACAGTAGCATCTTCTCAGGCTGGTGGGGGCTGAGGGGATTCTTCTGATGGAGTGAGGCTGTTTCTGGCACTAGCCCCAGGCAGTGCATACCCACCTGCTAAGATGCTCTGAAGACTGAACCAAACCTCAAGCTCCTTACAGAGATTCGAAACTGCAGGCTTTGCTCATCCATATGGAAGTGGATGTGGTTCCCAATTTGCTTCTGAAAACCAGGCTCATCCATATTAATGAGTGAGCCTGTAGCTCTGAGCAGGAGAGTGAGTGTAGAACCACTGCGTTGAACAACTTAAATAGAGAAGAGTCTTGGCACAGCACTGTCCCACCCAACTCATAATCTCCACAGAGCTTGCCTGGGCATGCTCTCTCCTCCCTCCCTCCCTGTCTTTCTGTTGAAAGAGGTGATGCTGCCAGGTCTCTCTGCCCATGTGTCAGGGCAAACAACACATCTCCATTGAGAGTCTAGCACCTTGCCTCCAACACTACAGGGCAAGATCGCCTGCTTTCCGCCTCACTGGACCCCATGGTGGGGATGAAGGGATTTCATCTAACATAGCTGAGGGAGCTGCTGGGGAGAGAGCCAGAGACACGTGACTTTCTCTTTAATTAAGAGAGTGATACTTGCGTGCACCAGTGGTGGCTTACACTTGAATGTGTCTTATTGAACACAAGTCGCAGTGTCCTTGTCAATGTGTTAAAGGACAAAAATGTGTGGTCATCCTCAAAATGAGCTCTGAACAATGTACTGAAACTAATGCCACTACTTATTAAGCATACAGCTTTCCTAAGAAGGAACTCCTAGCCTATTTCCATCACTTCTTGGCTCTGTAACCTTGGACTTCAGATATTTAACTTCACTGGTCTTTAGAATCTTCATTTATAAAATGGAAATAGTAACATCGAATTGTTGGGAGAATTAGCCACTCTATTATAAGATCAAAAAATATCTTATACTTCTTTGTGGAAAGAGGGGGCTCCCCACAGTGCTCAGAGGGCCCAGGGCTATAGCAGTGCTCAGGCTGGTGGTGTGGGCCTGACATTTTGCCAGGGATCAAACTCTGGCACGTGTTCTATACCCTGAGCTGCCAGGTCTTATTCTCTGATGAGCTCCCCAGTGAGCCTTGTACTGAGCTTTAGTACCTGTCTACTGTCAGAGGGATTTTCGGTTGGTCACAGATCCTAAGAGTTCCACATGGAACACAAGTTCCATGAGTTCTGAGATATTTCCTCTGTGTGGAAAGGACTTCCTTTTGGGCCATCTGCACTCTTCCTCAGTATCCCTTCCCTGCCAGCTATAGTCACCACTGATAATTTTTGGAAAAAACTGTCTGAGATAAAACTGTTCCTGGTTGTTACCCAGGTTCTGCTCAGCAAAACATGAAGACCTTGCCCAGGTCTTTCACCAGCTCAGCAAACTTCCTGCACCGTGACAAGTGCAGGAGCTCCTTTTCATCTGGATGTATTTGTTCTGGAATCTTCCTGGACTATTATACACCCTGCTTCTTTTTCACCTCCCCAGTTTTCCTTTCCTGAGATGCACTGTCAAGGCACTGTCCTTAAACCACTGACTGCCAGGACCCAGTATGGAGTCTGTAGACCAACCTGTCACTCGGGTTTTCTGGAAAAGGCTTGAAAGTAGCTGCATCCTTCTCCTCCTGAACATCACTGATGATCTGCAGAGAGCAGAAACCTGCCCCCTCCTCACTCAGGGCCTGTCATTTCAGTCCTGGACTGGAGCCCTCCCTATCACCATCCTGCAAAAGTGAATTTAGCTGTGAGTTTTCTTCTCCCCAATATTGGTCCTAAATTTCACTGCCAGCTTGGTCATTCCCATAACACCAGGCCGAGAGGAGGGGATGAAGTGAAGAGGAAAGAACTTTACTTCATGTTATCTCTTGACTCTTCCCAGATGATAAATTTAGTTGCCAAATCCTGATTAATCTCTTTTGTTTTTTTTTTTAAGTAAGAAATAGATTTTCTGATTTGAGCTAGAAACACAGAAGAGAGAATGGTTATTAGACACCAGATTTGCTTCTCACAGGAGCCACAGCTCTAAGAACTCTTCTGAAAGATCAAGTAGTAGAAGGAATCTGAGTACAAATGGGACCCATCTTGCAAGGAAGCAAACTGTCTGACACACTTTTGAACAGATGCTCAAAAAGTGTTGGTAGAATGAACACATGTATGCTTGAGTGCGCAGGGTTTTGTGGGGTTTTTGGTTTTGTTTGGGTTTTGGTTATTTTTGTTTTTGTTTTGTCATTCCTTCAATGAACATTTCTTGATCCTAGCTTTAACTCAGATGACTTGGAAAACTCTTCCTGCAAAAGGGCAGGTAGTTCGTATTTAGGCTTTGTGGACCGTATGGTCTGGGTTGCAACTGCTGGAATCTGTTGTTGTAGTGTGAAAGCAACCATAGACAATACACAGATGTATGAGCATAGCTGTGTACAAATACAATTTTGTCTTATGTCACTGAAATCTATGGTGGCAGACCCGAGATTGCCACCCCTGTCCTAAGGAAGCAAAGAGATTGGGTTCAAATCCCAGGTCATTCTTTAAATAGCTGTTTCACGAGACATGCACCAGCATCTCTGCTCAGTTTTCTCATTTCTGAGCCAGGGATAAACATTGGTGTCATCTCACAGAGTTGTTGGAAGGATTCAATGAGTGTGTATTAGTAAGCGGTACAGAGTAGGATGCTCTCATTACTTCGCTGAAATGACCCTATTTTGTCACTATTGTCATCTGTCTCTCCCACACGAAGGCAGGCCCCCTAAGAGTGGGGATGCCTTAGTCCCCTGCTGTGTTCCCAATACCTGTGGCAGTATTGGCTCATATGAGTGCTCCAAA